TAGGGGTAAATGACCCAATTACTGCGCACTGAAATTTTTGATTGTACTAAATTTCTCATTTCTCAATGTTTTTCGATGTAAATTGAACCAGTTTTACTTAATCTTAGTCTGCAGCATCTTGTGCGATTAAAACGACAAACATTTTTCTGTTAAGTAACTTTTTTTTTTTTTCAAATAATTGTTTTAGTGCTGATATCACTTGCTGGTATTACTGCGCACGGTTATAAAATTAGTACCAGTCGCTGCGCCCCCAATTACTGCGCGGGTATCTCCCATAAGGTTTTCATGCTGAAGCCCAATTGCTGCGCACGAATCACTACGCACGACTACAAATAATTTAGTTTAGAGTCACTCAGTTGAACAATTATAAATGTCATGATGTAAAGTATGATTTATCTGGATTGATCATTATTAACGTCCGTACGTGTTACAATATCCAAGCACCCATAATTTTCAGTCTGTTTTTCTTATTTTCAGTTACCGTCGAGTGCGCAGTAATTGGTGCCTGCGCAGTAATTGGGTCATTTACCCCTACTTGCTGAAGGTTTTAATTTTCACCATTACCTACAACTGATAAGTCATAAAAACGTTATTTAAAAGTTCACAACGACTTGAATAAGACAAATAAATACATTTTTTTAGCGTTGGTACATTTTTCTCATGAAAGACAAATTAAACATACATATTTACGAGATATCCAATTGTTGATTTTTTTTATTTAAAAGCAAGTATTTCATAATTTTTTCAGTACATCTTTGAGACACCGATATTACATTTTTTTCGGATTCTGCTCTGAATGAACTTCATTTTGACATAAAATTTTGGAGTAGCTTAGTAATTACACGTATGTGCGTACACAGACATGTTTTGGAAAGAAATTATAAAATGTGACATGTAGAGGTGAGACAAAGGATTATTTTTCTCCTAAAATTTAAGCTTAACAACGCTTGAAGGAATTAATGATTTAAGTATTATTTTCAATATCGCTATTAAGATTCTAAATAATCTATTTTCGGCTATTAGTGCTTTTTGAAAAACTGCAGATGTACTTTCTTTGTTTGCAACGATTAATATACTTAATACGTATGCAAAATGAGAGTTTTTCAGATTTTATCACCCTTTTAAAGTTCAAAAAGTTTTGAGCTGCATTTTAATATATTGATTTGTCATTTTTGTATAATTTTATATTGTTTGTCCAAAACTATATTTCATACGAATTTATATGTATACATATTTTTTTTCATTTAAATAGTTCAAAAGTATTTTTTATTCATCAATGGTATTAATTAATTTTCATCTAAATCCAAACGAATCATAACTGTATGTGTACTAGACTTTGTCATAAAAATACCCTATATGTTTAAAATCGTTATCAGTATGTGTAGATATCCTAAAAAATTCCCGTTTTTTATGCTGATTCTTAAACACACTGCAGAATACAAATGTTTTATGCAGGTTTTCATTTTGCTTTTTTAACTATCGACACACCATTGATTTGATGGGGTAATATGTAACAAATAAGAGAGAAAACGAGAAATTGCATCAGGAAAGTAAATAACGTGCTTGTATTAATTACGTAGGTAGACTGTGATTGAATTTTCATTTGCAAAGTATAGGTATCTATGTATATTATGTCTCCAAGTCTCTCTGAGTGACTCAAGAGGAGAACGTTACTTGAAAAAATCTCTACTTATTTACTGTCCACAACCACGAGGACGAGAAAATAAGACGAGAGAGAGAGAGAGAGAGAGAGGAGAGGACCAGAGGGAGAGGACATATGCTTTTGTAATACTGTCTGCTTACGCTGCGTTACGCACACGGCAAGTGTGTATACCTATACCTATATATATATATTGACCATATGCACATTGCACACTTGCACAGCACACGAGCACACCCGAGTGAGAAAGAGAGAAGCTGATACTCTACTTAAATAAACTCGATCAAAGAATAGGGAAAAGAGAGAGGCTGAGATGATAATAGTGAGAAGTTGATAAATTCTCAGGAGAGGTGTGTTAGCGTGTTAAGTCGAAGAAGTTCGTAAGTACTTTGAAGTTCTGCCCAAAGACAATTTTTCAGTTCGGTTCGCCTTGCTTTTGATCTATTCAATTATCAACCTGTGTGCGTGTGCGCAACGTTAACGTTAACGTCGTTAACGGTAATCGCGGTAAAAAAGGTAAAGTGAGTTAAGTATGCAGCAGCGCGTATTTTCAGACCTTTCGTTTTCGTCTTGACAGTGGAGCGTTGTCGAGGTACAGGTATTATATTGTTGCCGTTGGTTGTGTGTATACTTCACTCGCCAACCGCAAAAAATATTGTTCAGTGAAACAGTATGTCGGCCGATCAGCAGCAGCAACAAGAACAACGACGTCGAGGAAGTGACGTTTTCCTCGGCAGTTTCAGAGAGCAAGACGACGACGAACAGTCAATCATCGACGTCTTCGAATTTGACGACACTTCCCAAGACAGATGGTAAGGGTACCTATTGTCATTGTACATTACATTTAACTTTCTAATTAAAATTCCTGACCTTCAAGTACTTGGTTATTTATGCAAATGTAGAAACTTGATTGCACACACACACGCATGTTTCACCCTCTATAGGTAGCAATTCGTTTTAAACAAAATTGACAAGGCTTGTTTATTTGGTTGATTATTGCCAAGTATTATTTTTCAGGCTGTGCTCACTGGGAAATAGATCCAGGAAGAATAGCTTGGAAACTTGTAAGATTGAGGATCTTGATGCCTGGTTGCATGCTGAAATATCAGAGTTGGATGCTGCCCCAGCGGATTACAGTATGTTTATTGATCGCTTATTCACCTTTGAGCACGTCTTTTTGCTCTGTATGTATTTAATAAATGCTTTGTTTTAGATTCCAGACGATCCATTGACACTAGAACTTTTACAAGAATCAAAAGGCGATCCAACCGACTAAATTCCGATGGAATTGAAGCTTCCATATCACCAGAAACATCTCCATTCTTTTTATCCAATATCTGGAAAAAAAATACCATTCCAGAGTCCAATGAAAAGGTACATTTTTACTTTCTGCAACAAAAATTTGTTTGGTTACTTTTAAAAATAAATCCTTTTTAATTTCAGGTTTTTAATAACAATGATGAAGAACAAATCATGAAAAATGATAAGAGGGACAGCATACCAATGATGCTGAGACCTAAAACAAACCAAGTACTGTCTGCCTTGTTATCCGAAAGTCCATCCTCTATCAATAGTCAAACTAGCATGGAGGCTTTTATGAGTGTAGCTAGAAAAAAGGGTAGTAATTTTTTACTTAGCGATGCAAGTGATCCAGATTTCAGTAGTGTCCTTATGAATATATCTCAGCCATCTCTTTTATGTACATCGATAACATCAGATGGCAGAGCCAATGATGCTGTAAGACAACAGTCAACAAAAAATAAAATGGATAACAGTATGACTGATTCTCAAATTTTAACTGATTCAATGATGGAAGCAAGTATGTTTAAAGAAGTCCAAGACACAACAGTTCTAGCTGAGTTTTTGAAAGAAAGCAATGATGTTACTCATCATACAAAAGATATCAATTCTTATTTTAATGACAAAACATTTACAAATGATGATCTGGATGATATAACATGCACCAAAACGAGTAATAAAGAATCAGATAGTTGTAATGCAACTTTTGTGGCGGCTAAAGAGAATTTTAATTCAAATGACACGTACATTGCTGATCAATCTCCGCAGGATAGAGTCAATTCCGCTAACAGTACAACAATCATATCACCTTTAATGAATAAAACTCTTATTGTCATTCCTACGACAACTTCATTAAATTCAACACATGTACTTTCAAATGGTCCAGAATTGTGTGAAAATTGTATTTTATCGCCGACGCTAAAATTATGTAGTGAACACAAGACTGATTTGAAATTTGAGGAAAAATCTCCATCTCCAATCAAACGTATGGATGCGACTTTTCAAGCTTCAGATAGCCAGTCTTCTGAGCTAAGTGTAAGTAAAAATAATACATTTTTTTTCAACCATTCCCATTTTAATTTATTGTTTGCGTTATAGGGGTCAACCGAAAGTAACTCTAAAGACTCTATTTTTTATAAAATTCCGCCTTTGCGAGCCCAGTTATTAAAAGTAGCTCAGAGAAACAGTGAAGATAAACTAAACACTACCTTCACGAATTCTTCGACAAAATTAGATGTCACTTACGATCAACAAGGTTCTGCCGAGCCACTACTTGAGGTTGAAAGTCTCGATGCCACTTTCGTTTACGTGCCATCAAAACATAAAACCGAATCTCAAATTAATAAACCAAGCCTTGATGCTACCTACGATGCAATGACACTCGCGTCAAAATTAAGCACTCCTACAAATACGACCTCCACACAGCATACAAGGTACTATTTTCATGATTGAAAACATTTCGATTCAAATTATACCTTTTTTTTTATTTTTTTTTTTTTTTTTTTAGTTACGTTCCAAACAGAAAATCTGAAGAATCTCAATCGTACTTACTCGATCCCAATCGATTCAACACTTTTAAAAAAGACAAAAAAATTGGTAGCCGATTGTCAAAAGCATTGCAAAAGCAAGAGCCCAGTGATATGTCATCGTTGCCGCCTTCGCAATCTCACGTGCCAAATAACAAGGCTGTTGATAATTCTTATCAGCAAAGGTACAAAACATTTTCGAAAAGAACTAGTTTGGTGAAAGAACCTATCTCTCTTACAAGACCCGCGTTCGAAAAAAAAGCAGAAGAAAAGCAACAATTTGTGAAACCCTCTATTCAGCAAATACAACCACCTCGTAGATTGTCCAAGTTACCGCAGTCGTTTCAAAAGTCTCATCCCAATCTTGGCTCGAACCTAAGACCACCCTCCAACAGTGGCAACAGATTGTCAATGTACGCTGGTGTTGGTTTTTACAAAGGATCGCAGCAGAATATTTCGAATAACATGCAAGCGCTTGGAAGATTCAAGTCGGAAAGACTGTTGCTAAGGAAGGCCAGCACCGATTTTTCCACTAGCGACGGCACTAGTCAATCAATGGAGAGCATTGATAGCAACGGAAGCGCACACAGTGCACCTGATCTCGATGGTAGACATAGTGTGGCTTCCGACAGTAGTAGAGCATCTTACGTTATCAAGCCCAAAAATCCTGATACTCTTAAGAAGTTAAGAAGTTTGGAAGATAAGAGTAAATTGAAAGATTTTTACATTTATTGATTAGTCTCAATGTACATTTTTTAATCGCACGTATTCCCTAAATTTTTCAGTGGAAACATTCAATGGTTCTACACCGAAAGTTAGAGGGCATCAAGTTCTTGAAAATAACTGGGTTCAGGAGAAAGATCTACCATCGCCGATACTTAAGAATGGTGTTTCAAAGAATCATCCAGAATGCGATAGTAGAAGCTCTTCTCTGAGTGACAGTACAGAATTCAGTGCAAAAACTAGCTCCCCTCTAACCAACAGTCCTTCCAACTCTGATAACACAATAAATATAATAAAGGACGGTGGAATTGGAACGATAAAAGAAAACATTCAATCAGCAGAAAACTTGAAACCGAAACCTCAGATCAAGGTGACGCTTTTAGTAATTAATTCTTTAATATGTTACTAAATGTGGTATACTGATAACTTTTATGTATAGGCCCCAAGTACAACAACGACAAAAGGGACGATGTTGAGGCGGCCATCCAACTGGACGGGAGCTTCAAACAAAGCCTCAAATGGTCCAGTTAGCGGGATTCCGCGACCAGCCTCCCGAATCCCTGCTCCGAGGTTTGTTAGACCAAACCCAAAGTAATCAAGTTAGCTTGTAAAAAGTATGAAAAAAATTTATCCATTCGGGCTGATCAAATCAGTACAAACCTATCAGATTATGCTGTAAGTTGAAAGAAATTTTACACTTCAAAGACTATTTTTCTATACGAGTTATTGTAAATATAAGGATCATGTAAACTTTTGCTGAAATTGTATTTTACAAACAGTGCATAATCTTGATATTTTGTATTTTTGACTTTACATTTATGCTGTTTGCCATTACCGAAAAGAGGAAAAGTTATTTGTCGAGACATAATCAGACTGCCATTCAGTGCTCTAAGGATAACATATTTTGTATTTAAAAAAGTTTAATGTATACAGCAGAGCATATTATATTTATAGTGACGAAAAGATTGTTGCTTATAACTGTTATACATCATTTTTATATGCAACTTGTAGTTTGTAGATGCTGTATGTAGGATCGTATTATTTTTATTCCGTTTATTTTTTTTTTAACCCCAGTTTAATAGTTATGGATACTATGCTCGATTTAGGATACTACGAGCGTTCATTTTTTTTTCACAAGCTATATATTATTAAGTGCGTTTCTTTTTGCAAATAATAATGCATAATAGATGTACCTAAACATATATTTTGACATTTGAATGTACCATAAGACCCATTAATATTTACATAAACACTTGATTGTGAATTTGGACTGACAACTAGCTCATAAGGTCAACGAATGTAAACGAGTATTTTTTGAAATTTCTAAGTTACTGAGTAAGAATGAGATTCTAATCGGACTAAATGTATTAAAAGAATATACTTTTCATAATATATTACAGAGCTATTAAAATTAATTTATTAAATAATTTTAAGGTTCATTAATGAACAGCACTAACTGAGAAAATATTCTGTTTGTTATATCAACAAAGTAATAATAATGTGAAACAACTGTTGGAAAAATGTGATAAAATTTTGTTATACGGTTCCAGTAGACCACAGTTTTNATTATAATAGTGTATTTAACTAGAGAAATCACTTATTTCAAATAATTGTATATAGTTTTATAAAAATTTTTCACCAAGATTGTTAAAACGCTTTGTAATTTTGTGAAACCAAGTGCCTTTACGAAAACATGTGGCTCGTGAGAAAAAAACTGCGTGTTCAAATCACCGAAAAAAAAAAACTAAGCTGTTTATCGCCATTACACAGCTCCCAAGATGTATTGAATTTTTTATAAATCGGAAAGTTCATTTTATAAATAAAATAATATAAAACGCTTATATTACAATCTGCATTATTTTATTTATTACCCTTTTAGTTAGTAATGGTTTTAATAAAACTCATAAAGTAGTTATGAAAAAAGATTTATTGTTTGTAGAACACACGTGCTCAATCTTTTTTTTGAGATGGAAAAACTATTGTGAAACAACTGTCATCAAATTGAGTTACATAGACTAGACACGTCATATATCCCATATTTCCTTTAAATATATTGCTTTATGAATCATGAAACACGTGTTTTTGTGCGCAGTTTAATAGACTTTTGTGTTAAATAAATCGATTTGTATAAAATACAATTTTTGTAAATTCATCAATTACATAGCATATTAATATCTTCAAGAGAGAAACAACAAGTAATGCAAGTGTTTCAATGTATTTTATGAGAACGCCACGATATATATATCTAACATTATAACAGTATGTTCTTTGCAAACATTATTTTTAGAATTTCAAACTTCATCTTATATACTAAAATTATACTCTGCAGCTGTACAGAGCCACTAGCTCTCGCTTTACATAATTTATACAATATTCACGCTACGAGATTTTTCATATCTTAATTAAGTACACAATTATCAATGCTTCAACAAGAGCTTTCGTGTTTAGAACTCTAGTATATAAAAAATGCTGTACGTTGTCTTTTGTTTCCTATAATTAATACTGAAACGTTATAGCATAATACGCGAGTATCGCGCATAAGTACGCACGTTTTGTCACATTTTTTTTGTTCTGGAATCTAGACTGAACACATTAAAATCGTTCTTTAGAATTACATAGAAGTCATATGTATGTGATAATTTTCATGTTTTAGGAAATCCAAAAAGTTTTCTGATATTTTCATTTTATTATCTTTTAGCGCAAAATTATCTCAAGCACTCGCAATCGTAAAGCGGCGTTAAGAATAATATAATTGCACAGATCGTGTTTCTTCGGAAAAATTCATTTTTTGACTAAACACATAATCGCAATTCATTCTGAGCTCGTTTCGTATTATTTCTTTAACTTTTACAAGTAAAACATAATTTTTCATTAATACTATAAATCAACTTAAAATCATAATTGATGTATTCGGTGTATAAACGAGTCGAATTAAAAAACTTTGCAATCAGCTTAGTCGATGTTGCCCATGAAATTCACATCTATTTTTTTAGGATCCATAGAAAAAGGGACAGTGACAAACGTTGATTAACCGATTACTTAGTGTTTTTTGTTCAAAGAGACATCAATGGAATCTTTGCCACGGTTCCACTGCGATAATTTAAAATGTTTTCCGCTCATAAAAAAAGTGCTACGCTTTTTTAGATTCTCGACGCTAATAAGCTCGATAGTGATATGGCATGTTGTAAGTACGTTTCACGATTTACAACGACTTCTTTTAAGCTCGAGAAGATATGTGAGGGTGGCCTGGCAAATCGATCGGAAACAAATATTGGTCGCGTGTCGCGGTTCCAGACACACGCACACACACGCACACACACATAATAGTTTGCACATAGAAGAACGGGCGACACACGAAAAAAAACTCTATTCGCATGCGAGTTTGCTATCGAAACTGCTGAGCGCTATGGCGAACGCTTGAAGTGCACACAGGGGAAATCGATAATCCATCGTGAACACGTCGTCCGCCACACGGCCAAACTGCATTATTATGTAATCCACTGGAATGAGACACCATATACTTATTATTTCTTTCATACTTTGAACTATACACTCTTATTGCCAAATATTGTGAGATGAGTTGAAAAACTTACGGTCGGTTTCGTGTACTACTTGAAAGTTTTTAACCGATGCCTGTGTAACGCGGCCGTGAAAATTGAGGACATACGATTGCGTGTCATCGTTCCATACTGGCGTTTTGTTATGCAGCTCTATCAAATTATCCATGCTTTTCAACTTATAACATTCTGAAATAAAAATAGATATGGACTTATTGAACGACCAGACAGGAGAAACGTATGTTAAATGATGATGAGTTGACAAAAATAATAATTCAATTTTCAAATTCATAGGCATATAGTCACCTAGTAATGTCTCAGACTCATCACGCGGGCATACTTGAACTCGTTTCTGATCGCCAGTCATGCCCGGTATGATAACAGTCATCTTGCGCGGTCCTTTAAAACCCAAAAGATTTGTGTCGTAGATCACGGCTGCCAATTCTTGTCTCGGGTGAGCTCTTCTCGATTCTTCTCGCTTGTCATCTTTTAGCTGAGAGAAGCCGTTGTCGTATATAGTGAACTGAGTCCCGAGAAGGTTCGACCTTAGTTTTCCGACGTAAGCATCCCCGTCTCTCGATAAATCGGTCGGGTCCGTGGAAATCAAGTAGTTACTCGTCTTGCTTCGTTTTCTTTTGCGTCCAGCGAGTAAGAAAATCTACCACGTTTAATTATTAGGATTTAGCAATCAATTGAAAATGACGTTGTACAAAAGCAATCAATAAAATACATGAATAGCACCTTTTTGCCGTAGTCCCGCTCTAAATGTAAAAAATATGTTGGATAAAAACCACGATCCATTCCTTTTCTATCTCTAGTTATTCGACATTTGTAGTGCATTTTTTTATTTGCTGGTTGTAAGACAAATTGTTCTATGTTACCTTCCACATTTCCTTCGAGCTCTGGACTCTGCAAGAGTTTAATTTTCATCATTAGAATTAAAGAGTACGTAGAGCTTTAAAAAAGTTAAAACTGTGGTTGCCTACCGAAGAGTGATTATCTCTGTTGATCATATTAATGGGCCCATCCGAAGGTGCTATTCTTAGCGGCGATGCGCATGCCAATGTTTCTGTTGGTGATTGAATTTCCACTGGTGAAGATTCTTCATCTGGACCATCATAAAAAACTCCTTCTGTGCTAATGTCTGCAAGTGTTGATAAATTTTAGACAAGTAACAAACTAGAAAAGGAAAAATTTTATACCTGTATCAGTCTCCATAGTCCTATTTTGAGGCAGTGTGCTTGCATCAGGAGTACCTGGAAACATACCGTGATAAAAAGAGCCATCATATCCTGCAATTCCAACAAACAAAAAAAAAGTCGTAAAACAAAACAGCACATAAAAACAAAAAAAGGAATTAAAAAATTTCATATCAACAATCTGTTATACAAACCCTGTAATTCGTGTTGCCATCCTGATGAGCGTCTTCCAAGTGTGGCACTCGAAATATTAGAGGCCTGTACCATTCCTCCAGCTCCTGTTTGTCTTTTCTGCTTCATCTTTTGAGCTATTAATTGCCTCTGAAATAAATAAACATTAATCAACACCTGCCTCAGCAGTACAACAAACGAAATATTTAATTTGAAGCAGGTACTTTGTTGAGAAAGAAAAATTTATTGAAAATAGGCCATCTCAAAAATTTTTTCATCTATGAATCTGAATCACCCTGCACGAAGTGGATCAACGATTGTTCAACGAATTAGAGCAAACTCCGAAATTCGACCAAACATTTAAATGCCGTGGGTTAACGCGATGAGCTATACGTATAGTTTTTTAAAACAATTTATCAGTCATTGACCGATAAACGGGACAAGGTGTACCCACAGAAATTAAATTACGCGACAATGTAATCGAAAATTTAATGGACTAATTTTAAATAAAAAAGGTTATAGGGGTGTTATCTCGACTGCAAGGGGTAGTCTCAAGATTTAGTTTTGCCCCTTGCGTATAGCATACTAGTAGGTATAGGCGTGCATGTGACCTGTGTACCACTACTTCCTGACGAGAAAACGAAAAAGGAAAGAGGAAAAGCCTATAGGGAAAGCCCAGCTGACCTGTTGCTCGAGTTTCTGCTGCCTCAGGTCCAGCGACGTCATCTTTCAGATTTTGTTTTGAGTTGAATTTTTTTTTTTTTTTTTCCTTCGAAACAATTAGCAACCAAAGTATTATGAGGTCGAATGCATGGACGATTATAGGTTCGTGCTACCACTGGAAACTAAGCACTTTGTTTACGCTTTACGTCAAATAGGTTGTTGTAGGTACATAATGTACGCGCGGTGTACTACCGACTACCGACCCGACCGTACTACATCCATGTATATATATACATATATGTGGATTCGTTTTCAGTGTTTTCACCCCTATGCCGTACACCCATACATTCACAATACACCCCTGCATCCCTATTATGTGCGCGAGCTAGATAAGCGTTGTTATTGTGTTGGTGATTCACTAGTAACTTTTTCGCCGATCGCTGAAGGAATATATGTTTCCATAGGAATGTTTTTTGATACCTTCTCGAGGTAGAGTAAAAAAGGAACTGCGCAGATAGCGCGAACAAAAATTCAAAAGGTAAGTAGTTAACAATTTTGAATTCATTATTTACTTGTCAATGTTTTATCAATCATCTATTTACAAGAACGTTAATTTAGAGTTATTATGGGTGACTTCAAGCGGCTTTGACGCTGATATCTGAAGCTCTGTCATCCTCGGAGCAGGAATTTAGATCTTCGACTGCTTTGTCTCTCAACAGAGCAGCAGGATTCCTTTTCATCAATTGTTTTTCAACATTGACGTTCAGTTGAATTCCAGTCAATGTCGATAAAATAGATTTTTTGGCGATGTAAGTGTCTTTCCTGGGCTGCTGTGCCTTCCTCTTCAATACTTTCTTTATTGACAAATGCATCTTTATTATGTGTTCTTTAATCTTTTGTTTTGAAGCTAATTTTTTACCACACATGTCGCAATTAAATTTGTTACCAGTGTGGTGTACTTTTATGTGATAATGCAGATTGTTTTTGAAGTAGTATAGCCGGTTGCAATTTTCATAGGGACATGGGAGTACTGGTCTGTTCTCTGAATGAATTTTCATATGAGTCTTGTAACTTCTCTTGTTTGAAAATAGTTTTTTGCATTCTGTGCAGTGATATTCTGTAAAAAGGAAAAAAATGCTTAATAACGTGGTTAGCCTCTCAGTATACAATTGTAGTTATAATCTCAGCATTATTTGTTATTTGGCTAGCACCTTGATTAAATTTAATTAAACTTTTAGAGTAGCTACTGTACTGTACACTACTTACCAATGCCTGAATGCTCGATCTTGATGTGTTTCTGCAGCAGAGCCCACTTTTCAAATACTTCTGAACAACCTTCAACTTGGCACGTGTGATTTCTGTTCACATGATATTCTTGATGTTTGACTAGTTTCATATGGGTTAAAAATTTTTTTTCACATTTATCACATTTGTAAACAGTTGTATTGTCGTGAGATGCCATATGTTCCTGGTAACGACTTTTTTTCCTGAATTTCAAGTTACATTCTTTACAATGTAGCTTGTCTTCATGGTGAGCTCTATGGTAGTGGCGTTTCAAGTTAGTTAGGGTGCTTATATTCGACAAACAAATGTTACACCTGTGACAATGATACTTTTTTTAACAACTATTTTTTCCATACTTTTTACTACGATCAAAAATGATATAATTTACTTACTGGAAAGTCTGTGCTGCAACACTATGTGTCTGCAAATGACGTTTCAAATGAGAAGAATTCGTGTAAGATTTGTCGCAACCTTCATGAGTACATTTGTGTGGTCTCTAAAAGTCATAACATAGGAATTGGTAAGCTTGCCATTTAGGTATGTGCCACTTGATAAACATATGTTATACTACCTTATTTGTGTGCATATTCATATGACTTTCCAGACGATGGGGTCTTGGAAAAACTGCGTTACAGCCTTCAACTTCACATTTATACTGATTCCCATTTTTATTTTCCTCCGGTCTCTTGATGGCATCATTGGATTCTAATTCGCATTCTTTGTCCGATGTAATCTGTAAGTGGTTAATTTCTTGGCACTGGATAGTCCGTGTTGCAACACTATGTGTCCGTAAATGACGTTTCAAATGAGAAGGACTATTAAAAGATTTGTCGCAACCTTCATGAGTACATTTGTGTGGTCTCTAAAAATCATAACATAAGAATTGGTAAGTTCGAAATTTATGTGTCACTTGATAAAAATGTGTTATACCTTATTTGTATGCATATTCATATGACTTTCCAAACGATGGGGTCTATCAAACACTACGTTACAGCCTTCAACTTCACATTTAAACTGATACTCTTTTTTCTTTTCCTCTGGTCTCTTGATGGCATCATTGGATTCTAATTCGCATTCGTTGTCCGATGTCATCTGTAAGCGGTTAATTTTTTGGTTAGCATACAGTAACTAGGAAATTTTTTGACGTTAAACAAAATGTTTTTATCTTACGATTGTAAAGAGAATAATTAGATTGTTGTTTGACAAACGCTGATCATTATTATAAAACCTAACTGACGATTGACTTATACAAAGCACGTGGAGGCAAGATCTTTGTCCACCATACATATATATATATAAATGTGTGTATTTTTTACTGTTGGCATAGTTGGTCACTGCAGTTGATCTCGGTAACCGATAGCGTTAGTTGGTAAAATAGATTATTTCTTATGATGATGTAATGTCTACCTTATCAACGCTCGAGTTGAAAGATACTCGATGTACCGGAGAATTTGAATGCGCTTGAGGTGAAAAAAAGCACGAAATATTTATTTCAACAATTTTTTTTTATTTCCAACTTAGAAAACCATACGTTCAATCAAATGTACATTCAAATATCGAAACGCACATACATACGTTATCATTTTTTTGGCAGGACAAATTAAACCCATTTTCAACGAAAAGAGGAATATATTTTACACGCATTTTGCCGTCAATCCATTGAGTTTCCGTTTTTTGTCAGCCACGGATTGTCTGATGAGACTCGCCACTTTGGATAGACCCTGCAAAAAAACAAATCGAATTAACGCTGTTTTTTTTCTCAATACCATGATATTTTGAGCATTGGACGGTAAAAAAAAATGCAAAAAAGAAAAAAAAAAAATTAATAACCTCGTCAATGTCTTCGGGACTGGCCATACTGTAGCATATACGTAGATATCGACAGGGTCGGCTCGTGTCTGACGGGTAAAAGGCATGTCCAGGCATAACGAAAACCCCCTGGGGTACGCACGTCTTCATGACCAGGTCGTACACGTCGTCCAAATCGTTGACCTTCATCCAAAAGAACATGCCACCCTTTGGCACCGACCACTCGGCTATACCTGTTTTTTTTTTTTTTTTTTTTTTTAATAAAATTTTAAAAAATGAAGAAAAAAAAACTTCACGAGGCATGCCAACGTATAGTAATTCGAACACGTTACCTGTAAAATATTTTTCGATGGCATTCAGCATAATGTCTCGCCGCTCCCGATAAAATTCTTGTATCTGACTGAAGTGCTTTTTCATCTGATCGTCGCTCCACGAGTTCAAGAGTTGGTAGACGACTACCTTTTTTGGAAAAAACAAAATCTTTATTATTATTATTCCCCCCCCCCCCAGAACAAAAAAGTACATAAAACACAGGCACCTCGCGAGTAAGTATCTTATCACTTGTAACAGTGCTTTCTTTCCCCCCCTAATCCACAAGTCTCGGCCACACGAGTTTCTAATTTAATTAAACTGTTTGCAACACGAAATGCGTGTAATATGAAAGATATCGACCGGAAGTTACAGGTGTGAGAAAAGCGATGCCTCATACAATAAAAAAAAAAAAAAAAAAAAAAAAGAAATTGTTATCAAATAGTAAAGGAGCAAAATTTCTTGGCAATCGAGTAATATCTAAAAGTATTAGTTGGATTGCCCAAAAAATAACCCCATGTATGTAGATGTAAAACAAAAACAAGAACCTGGGACAAGGAGGACGTGTGCAGGGTGGTAGCCTCGACGTGCCTGACCACGTGCGCCAGGAGCGGCTTGGGCCCGGTGATGAAGCCAATCCTCAGCCCGGCGCTCAGGATCTTGCTGCACGAGTCGAGGCGTAGGACACGGCCGTCGACGTCTAGCGAGAAAAACGACACGGGCGTCTCGTCGAGGAAGTGCAGGAAGTAGTACGCGTCGTCCTCCATTATGAGAAAATCGTACTTGCGAGCCAACTCGTAGATCTCACGTTTGCGCTCCGTCGTGTAGACCGTGCCCACCGGATTGGCCCCCGTTGGATTCACGTACAGCAACTGCCCAGTCAAGGCGTTTTATCCACGCTCCCACATGGGATGTATCATTATTATTTTCTCGAGCAAGTGCATAATACCTTTGGCAACGGTTTGCCGCTTCGGAGCCTCTCCTCGCAGGCGTTGGCTATGTCGCTGGGCACGGCTCCGTCGTCGTCCACGCCGATCTCGATAAAGTCAGGGTTCAACGGCATCACCTTTAACCAAAGCAAAATTTCATTAGCTCCGCTTGGCAAATCAAACAATCAAATCCACCGTACAAGGACAAACTGTATTATATGTACATACCGCGGTGAGTATACCCCCGTAAGTGGGCGATTGGGCCATGACGGGGTCACCCTCGTTGAGGATCAGCTCGAATATCTTGCTGCAGCCCTCCATCGAGCCCGTGGTCACTTGGACGTCCCAATCGTCGTACCGGGGCGAGTGCCACTTTGTTTGGAATTCCCTCCACTTTTGCAACAGCGGCGGGTAGCTGAATCGTTAAATTATAAAACAAAAAAGTGGCGGGTATTTACGTGTTGATTCGTTCATTTGTTTTGGAAAAAAAAACATAATTACCCCTTGGAGGCTCCGTATTGGAGGGCTGGTGACAACTCGGAGCCAGTGAGCTGCTTGCGCGTGCCGTCGCTGTAAGTCACGGAGATCTCCTCGATGGGGAACATCGACGCGTTTGGCATGCCGCCAGCAAAAAACAAGGCATCCGGGTTTTTCATGTACGCCTCGGCTAAGAACCATCGTTATCATGATTTGATTGTCGTTTTATATTTGAAAAGAAAAAAAAAAAAAAAAAAAAAAACTACACGCGCTAGCATTATTCTGCACAAGTGATTTATTACCACTGATCAACATACTAAAATACTCCGTGTACGCGATCATGAGTAACGTGCAACGCAAAAGTTATCTTATAAGTACCTATACGGTTATCTTTTGCTTCGAGTCAACAAAAAATACTTACTTTTGCTTTAAACTTTTTGCACAATTTTTTTTCTTCTCTGACCTTAATAAATAAGAAAGGGAGATAAGAGAAATAATTACAGTGGGGAAAACAATGGTACTCATACCGAACGTTTTATACTTGCAAAGAATCAACTTGTAATCAAATTGCAAAGAATTACAAACGAGAAAAAATAACTCGCTACTCACTACTTATGATTACCTACGTTAAATAGTTTAAATGTCGATCTTTGCCAGTTTCACGTCCAAGGCGATCGAAACGAAAAATAAAAGTGTCATTACTCACTCAGTGACCTGATGAGATTGGGTTTGCGCCTTTTGCCGATTTTCGACACAAACTTGCTGTAATTCATCGTCGGATCTTCCGGCTCGTCTGCTTTCTAAAATTCCCCGGTTCGTTCTCGCTGCGAGCGTGCGAGAAGACTGAGCCAACCGCGTATATTTACTTATACTTATCTTCGAGCGGGTGCCCGCGTTTTATCGCGGAGTTGCAAAGGCGTCGTAGCGTCTTTGGAGTTAAATCTCGAACGAATCTGCCGCTCTTTGTCATAGATAGCTGTCACCGGTTTTTTCTTTTCCAACGCGATTCTTCGTTTGAATATGGTAATTACAGTCATCGAGGGCTCCAAGTCACCGTAATTATCTGACGGAAAAACCTGATTTGGAAAAATTTTTTAAAGCTTGGAACTAAAACTTGATACTGACATAAATAACAGTAATAAATACCATATAGATTTCACTATATGATGCGTAGTTTAAGGTAGTAGTCGATCAAAAACACTTTTCTTACGATTTTTCTAAAATTTTGTGTGTGCCTTAAGATTGCTATTATTTATCATGAGCCAAAATTTGAAGAGGCTTAGCGGTATAGTTTTGGAGATATTAAAGTTTTAATGTTGAACTTTTAACACAGGAGGTATAGGAAAGCGCCGGATTGGGGGTCGATTTGTGAACGAAATTGCTTATATCTCTAAAACGCTTCTTACAATGTTTCGTAAAAAATAGTATGATATAATTTATATTATAAAGCAACTGTGGTTCCAATTTAAAAGGGCTCAGCGGTATAGTTTTGTTGTTCGAGCTTTGCAAAGTTGATAAATTCAGTGAAATTCGCTCCTACAACGTTGTCATTTTTCGAGATAGTTGTCGAAGCGATATATATAGTATACGCATACGCTACAGCGCATTATGGTACGCACTGTAGAGTGCTCGACTACTACCTTAAATAAATTTGAATCCACAGAGAATATTTTAGAGATTTCACCAAAACATTGATTGTATAACGTGAACATAATTTTTTTTTTTTATTAAAAAAATTAAAAATGTTTATAAAAGACAAGACATTAAAACAAAAACGAAACGTGCATGGAATTGGAATGTAAAGCATAAAAAAAAAAATTTGGAAAAAATAGAATTAAACAACACAGTGCTTTAAACATATTTATAGTAACATTTATTCCGATTCTTTAACACGACTTTTTGTGAGTGTTAATTGTCCATACATGTATACTTTTTTTTTCTCATACGCGAGCGTGTTTACAGTATGTATAATAACAATAATAATTATTCATATAGTACATTGCGTCACGCGCACACATTGCCTTATTGTACCTTTGAACTTTGGCTTATATTTTTTTGACAACCGTTCAATTAACGTTGCTTGGATAACATTTTTTTTTTTAAACAATTTATATACCCTATGGGCTTCGTTGTGACGACTTGACCGCTTCGTTCGATTTATTGCGCGTCGTTTTTCCGTCACATTAATATTGTGTACATAAATACGAGTTTGTCGCACTTGGCAGTTCGTTTACTGCTTATTATAATGTAGCTCTACAGGTTTTTTTCGTTTTTTTTTCTTTTTTTTTTACATACAAGATGCTCATTCGACCGCAGTTTCGTGCATACCCTTTTATTTTCATTAGTACAACTTCTCAAACGAATAAAAAAAATTATCGATGAAAGAGTACGCGCAACTAAAATAATTTTAACAATACATAACTTTAAACGCTAAACAAACACGTACCTGAGTAAGCACTTTTTGAAATTCAAGCACCGCGACACTAACTTCCGATGATAGATGTACCCTCAAAATTCGAGGTTGTTTCGCTTGAGAAGCATCTCATTTCGGCTTGCGCTTTTTTCCTGGGATCCAACACCACATTTCGAAATTATAGTTACTATAAGCTCACTCTCATGCTTGTATACACATTTGTCCCAAAAAAACTGTACGCGCGTAACAACACGTCTCGTTTTTTCGGATATTTTTCCTTGCACTCGTACATTTTTTTTATTCTCGTTTAAGCTTTCGCACGTCACTCGAAATATACACGTATTTATTTACAAAACAGTACAATATAATTTATATATATATGTGTACACGTACCCAACGATATTACACTTTACAAATCTAATTACAAGTTCCGCCATTTAATTGTGTTTATTCTTTCATTTTTGTTGAATTATACCTATTCATCCTGTTTTAAGGTTTAATTTATTCATGTTTTTATATTTCTTTTTTTTTTTTTTTTTTTTTAATTTTACCTCAACTTCCTTATAGTATCTGAACATACATTGTACACAGCGACGCCTTGTGTTGAAAGCTTCTTAACTTTGTGATGGAAAAAAAATCTCCCTCATGATTACCTTATCGCACTCTTTTTCTCTCTTACTGTAATAAGCCGTACTTACGTTTTCAATTTTGTCGTCGCTCTGTTGTTACGTAAAAGATATTTTTACTCGGAAATGGGAAAAAAAAAATTTTTGCTTCCGTCAATATTATCTTTTGCACACGAGCAATGCGTCGTCGCGAATGTCGATTTTATCCAGAGTTACCTGTCAACCCAGTTATTTTGGCACGAATTGTAATGTCCATGAATTTTGTTCAACTCTTCGAAACAACGATAGATGTGCGGAATGAAAATTCATAGAAAAGTTGAGAATGATGGTATAAAGGCACAGATGATTCACGAATCGATTAGTTCATTACGGTTGATGAAAGTTTCTAGTCGATTCACCTAAAAAATTTTTATAAATAAAAGTAGAATGATACGTGATCGTAAAATGTATTTTTTTGTAAGTGCTAGCGATGATTGTGTCATACTTTCCGTGTAAACGTATCTATAGTATTGCGCGTGTCAACTACTCGACAGCAAGTATATGGCACCAGGTCTAGAATTTTTATTTCTTTGCATTGTCTAGCGTCGAAGAGTAGAAAAATTATAAAAATACGAAGATCTAAGACTACGTAAGACTGATAAGAAAACCTATTTCATAAGTTGTTACTCATTTGTTTTCTTCAGTTTACAGACACTTGGAGGTGTACAGAAAAAGTACCATTTAATTACCGAAGGAGACTTTTAAAAAATTCATTCATCCGTACATTTTTTTAGTGCTTTGATTAAAAAGTTAAATTAAAAAAGTACGTGTTACAGAAACTAAAAAACTTTTCAGTGAATGTGATGAAAGAACGTAATAAAGGTGTTGTGACTGAAACATAGTTGAAAAATGATATTTATTGGTGCACCGATCGTAAATCGTTGGATGTGGGTGTTTTCAACAATCAATGGAAGAAGTGCAGGAGGAAGGCACCGGGGAAGTTTATTAAAATTTTTTTTATTACTCATCGATTTTTAGTAGAATTTTTCTTAATCTTATTTTAAATTTTAGACTACAAAGTTCCGCCAAGAATTTTTTTATACTCGAGTATTCTCGCTATATTATACACCTAAAAATCTCTGCAGGATTTTTATTAAACCTCTTTACAATTACATAAAGTTTGATTGTTACTTTGGCAATTCGGCAGCGCTTACGAATTTAAGCTCCTGTACAGGCCGAAGTCGAGGGATTCATCGCGAGGGAGAAAAATGGACTACTACAGTAGATTTTGTACAAATTCAAGTTACAACAACTCCATTTTTGCATGTTTCTGAAATTTGAAGGAAAAATGAGAAAAATCATCAGAAAATTCCTCTCGTTGAATCATCTTGTTTTTATGATGACATTGATTATCAATTACTTATTTTCCACTTTAAACTTTGGACTATGTTTTTTTGTTTTTACCTTTTACAATGATTATTATCCTCTTTTATTACCTGTAGTTAAATTTTTGCTGTGTCATTTTTCACAGTAGTTATGTACACCTAACTAATTTTAACACTTTTCATACGCAACAGACATTTTTGAATAATTAAATTTACAGCTAAATTTTGCGTTTCATACTCTTTTTAACAAACACACGCGCATCCGAAGGATATTTTTTTTTTTAGATGCGAATTTTGTTGATATCAGTGGTTCATCGTACATTTATGAAATTGATGATCTAAAAATCCAATGTTCACTTACCCAAGTATTTTTATTTTTCCCCGAAAGCGCATGTGCTACATTAATAGACAAAATGCAGACACAGACATACACGCACATTCAAAACGTTACTTCAAAACTCTTGAAAGATATTCAAGTCATAGGAATACCTGTTTTTTTTTGTTCGTAGTAGGTTTTTCTCGTTTTGGACTCGTCATCGCTTGTGATTGATTTTCACATGCTTCTTACACTTATATTTTTCAAAGAAATCGTACAAAAAAGTCAGATTGAAAAAAAGTAGTCAATAATGTCAGCGCTATTTTAGTTCTCAAACGTACAAAATAAATGAAAACGTAAAAAAAAAAAAAATAGTCAGGAGGGCATAATTTTTTTCTCTTTAACAACTTTTGTGTTTTAGGAAAAATAAAAACATCGATCAAAAGTTTTATTAACTTCATGCATTACCGCTTTCCATACATCTGCTCCAATGCTGTTAACTCCAAAATTACCCACCTTACATTATTATTTTTTTCTCATATACAATAAATTTTTCGTTATGTTATTATTACGATCATTCATTATTATCATTATTATATTAGCGCTTATTTCTCAGTTCATCTAACAACCACACAAATCAACAATTAACGACTATAGTGACGATTTCTTTGTATCGTGATTTTTTATTTATTAAATTTCCATATTTTAATTCGCTCCGATTCTCAGTTCGACGGTACATCTCACCTCGGTGGGATAACTTTGAAACTGAGCTTTGTACGTAGGCTTCTTTGTGTGAATAACTTTTTATATTATAGTTTATGACTTTATAGTTTATGAGTTTATAGTTTTCTCGCCATTATTTTTTCTTACTCGGAAAATTTCTTAATACGCGCACACAATATATCTTTTTTTTTTATCGCTGTGTATTTCACAAACTTGATTATCATCACGTTCGTATAAAAATAATTGCCTATTCTTCACTTCTGTCAGTTTTATTTCGCAAATCAGTCTGGCCCCCTCCAAAAGATAACATTTTTTTTTTTTTTTTAATTAATTGTATTTAATTTATTTCGTAATCTCCTACACTCGACGACTCGCCTCTTTTTTTCTTGATTCCCTAGCAAAAATTTCATTTAGTCTCGGCATGTATCGGCACAAACAAACCCATGCACACACGTACAAACCCCCCTTTTTT